TGATGTCATAGACGAACCATGTTATTTAATGGATTTTTCCCCCCATAGTTCGTCAGGTTTTCCCCCAGTTTGATTTCTTGGGATGGTATACATTGGGACCGTATCCAACACAAGAAGATATCGAGATTCACAAACAAGTAATTGTTAGAGTTTGGATGTTTCAGTTTGGCTAGTGTACCGATTTGCCATACTTACCTATTTACTATTTTAAAAATTTGTAGATTATGACTCTTAATGAAAGTCCTCTGTTTCTGCAGATGAATCCATTCGAGATTATATCCTCCAAGAACCTGCCAATAACCGTGTACGAGTCTATAATTGATCTCATCGATGGGAAAGCCCACACGATGTTTATTAAAGCACAGTACAAGATCGAGACAGGAGAGGCGGAACGTATCGCAGTTGATCACGTTGCTCACACTTCTGCCGGAGAGGGAACCGAAGGATCATCACGCAAGTAGAACGGGGGGTGTCTGTGTGCGGTAGTGCAGCGTATCATAGGGAAAAGTGCTGTTGTATTAATGATGAAAATTTCTACTCTAGTGATCGCCCACTTGACTACCCAGAGTAACGCTATCAAAATGCTCCATACAAGAATAAAGTTGCTCCATCAGTATCTTCTGGATGCCAAGAATGGTATGGTATTGATTTGCCGTGTAACTCGTCAGTGTGCTTGTTGTTATATAGTTAAATCCATTTGGATGCTAATAAGACATTTCTGTATATACATAGTTTCAGAGGACGAGCTTGATCATGATATTCTCCGTCAAATTGCCAGTTTATGTAACCGGTTGCCGACAATCGATGGAGCAGAATTCAATCAAGAATTTTTAACCGTAAGTCGATGCAAGCGTTGATTTTTCATGACGGCATTTGATTCAATATTATACGCATACAACTTTCTAGGAATACAACGACGTGTTGCTCACTTCTTATCTCGCAACCATAACGAAAGGAACGAATTGCATCAACGAGGTACGAGAATATGCAAAAGTTTTATCACTAGACGTATACGTGTAATCAATAAGAAATATTTTAATCGCAATTGTTTCCAACTCTTTTTTAATGTAGCTTGTAGATAAATTCAATCTTGCCAGTAGTACAGGAAAATCGAATCGACGTTAATCCATGTAAAATAAAACTTTTTCTTTTAAAGGCTCTTCTTTTCGAACTGCTGTTCATAGTTTTAAAGTCGTACTAGTATTTATGGTTATGAACACAAAGTACACAATTATATATTAATATGGTTAAATAAGTAGTTGTAGATGAACTGCTATAAACTTTCAGTAATTATTATTACTGACATTGCTACATAATTTTTCGTATCTACATATGAAATGACATTGTTTATTTACATGTTGTTCAGGTATTTGACATGTTCCAAAAGCCGAGCTCATATTAACACCGCGTTTGGTCCTGTCCAAACTGACCGAAAAGGGTGTTTTTAAATAAATAGCCATTGTATAAATTAATATAATAGTAACCAACAATTCAATATTAGCCCTTATGATGGCATCCTGCATATCGAAACAAACAGTGAATTATAACATTGTAACTTGATAAGTTAATTGATCCGACAACTTATCTTGGGACCTTTTGTGCCGCGCTAGTCTTACAGCATACTCTGCGGTTTTGGGGAACAAGCTTGGCAGTGTCTGATGAAACATCGACTCTAGCTGAGAATCGGAATCGATTTATTTTAGCGCTTTCCAATCAACATTCATATCGAGTGACGCTTTTTTTAAAGCATGATATCATGAGGCACACGCCTGCCAAAATTCCCCTTTTATGCTTTTCCTCTGACAAGATTAAAATCGGTTGGGTCGGAAAATTATTTGCGCACATATAAAAATGGGTGCATTGCCCTTTATCTCTCCGTGTTCATCACGACTTGCGCTGCATGTTCCTTTTTTGGAAAGCACCCAAGCCTGTTCTGTGCTCTTTCTTAGCTCCATCTCTTTAATAAAATATCATTCGCAATCGTCTCGACCAGAGCTGTAATTAGTTATTGAAACTAAAGAACAATAATGACAACTACTCCTTTGAGAGTTAATACAAATTTGAGCAAGGCTTTTCCTGACCCCGAAGAAGATCTATTCTGGCAAAAGGCAACGAATGCAAACGGCGGCGATCGCAACGTTAGTTTGGAGTTGGGACGGTCCGGTCAGAACAGTCGGCTGCAAGATTGTGATTACAAAACAACAGAAATTAGACCAGAAATGCATGTCCCTCATTTAATGTATTAACTCTCTTTCATTCAGATCGATGCAATCTGGAGCCCTAAACCCAACGACGTCACAATACCCTTACCACCCCCTCCTACAAACACCACGCGACACTCACGTAAAGGTAGTAAAGTGTCCTGGGCACTATTGAGCGAGTCTGAAAAACACGTTGAATTACTAGGTTGGTTTGTTGATGTCTGAATATGGTTAGATCATTCTCTTCATGATTTTGTATTAACATTCCGTTGACCTTAGAAACAAAATTGAAAGATGTCCAGACAAAGAACGGTAAGATAAGACATGACAATACCGATGGTGAGTTTTGTGTGTTGTGGGAATGCGGCAATAAACACAACCCATATTCCCGCTTTGAGTGTGGGTAACGAGTCGCTTAGATCAGACAATCTGGACACAATTATTATTGTATTCTTTTATTACACATATATGTTAAATTAATATTAAAGATACTCATCTTCACCATCTACTTCCCGTTCCCATCCCATTTCAAACACCAACCCAACCACAGTTCCTCTCAATTACTACCCACATCACGCAGCCGATGAATCATCGACCGTTCACGTCGAAGATGAGGATTTAGACCCGATCACAACCGATTCACACGATTCAGACGAAGGATTATGGCTACTGTGGCAGACACGCAATCATCGCTCTCTCTCGTCATCGATTAGCGATAACCGATGGAACAAATACTTTCCACTTCTCAATCGAAGTAGCGTAGACGGTAATAATAGGAATAGCAGAGAGTACGTGCATAGCGTGCCATATCGTGATGACGAAGACGAAGCAGACGCAGGAATTGATATTGAAATGCTGGACGATGTGTTATCAAAAAGAAAGATGGAACAGGAATATTTGTGGAGCGGATGGTGGACGTGGTGTTTAGATACGTTTGTGAGCAAGTGTTTTGTTTGTGGGGTATGTGGGGATCGTGACGATGAATGATTGGAGAGAGAATGGCTGCTGAATTTGCTGCGGTTCGTTCCACAAATATTTATTAAAGTGTGGCTTTTTTTTTCTTTGTTCATGTACGTGTATAATAATATTCTTGCATTAAAGTAATAATAATTCCCGTAATAAACGCACTCGCTATTTATAGAATAAAACTCAAATGGGCTTAATTTTTATTATGCTTGTCCCACCCGTTTATTATCTCCTTTGCGTTTGTAACAAATATAACAAATATTAACTTGTTTAACCAATCACATTTTACTAATTTGTTAGTTCCATTTTTACTTTTCTTGAATCGAAAAGGGGGAAAGAGTGGATAAGCCACTAACTGATATGACAAAGTGTGGCCATTATCACCTCCTTTAACTGCACCAATCATCATTCCCTCTTTACCTTCCACCTCGCTTGTAAAGAGCAACACAAACACCACCATATGATTAAATCGATAATCCCATACGGCTGATGCCGCATCGTGCCACGATATCAAAAATTGTGGCACATCTGTACGTCATAAATAACCTCTTTAGTCGATGTGACTTTTCTTCTCTTCTTTACGTTTATCCTGTCGACTCCAACTCACATATATCGTTATAATATCTAGATACAATGGTAAGATACCGATACTAAGGCATGCATGCGATAAACGATGTGCTCTGGTCCCTATTCTTATCGATTATATCAGGAAATAGCTACTTTTTCAGCAAAATCTATTAGCATTCTCTTTAGCGTTTGGGATAGCTTGAACAAACAGATGACTAAAATAGCATTATAAGTATAACGCGTGTTTACACTCATAACTCTTAATAATCCACTGTTTTGGTCTTCTTATGTTCTGATGCCACACTTCTTCCAACTTGGGTTCCGGCCCGTTCACGTGTGTGCATACTCATACATGAATACTAAATCTCCAACACTGAAAAAAAGGAAAACCAACAGAAAAACTTAAACCCCAAAAAACTTTAACACATTCCTTTTTCTGTTTCCTCCATTTCTCGTTATTCCAGGCTGACCAACTCAACGACGAACAAGTGGCTGAATTTAAAGAAGCCTTTGCATTATTCGATAAGGATAATGACGGCACTATCACCACAAAGGAGTTGGGTACCGTTATGCGCTCGCTCGGGCAAAATCCTACAGAAACAGAATTACAAGATATGATAAATGAAGTCGATGCAGATGGCAATGGCACAATCGACTTTCCTGAATTCTTAACCATGATGGCCAGGAAGATGAAGGACACTGATAGTGAAGAAGAAATTAGAGAGGCCTTTAAAGTCTTTGATAAAGACGGAAACGGATTTATTTCTGCTGCTGAGCTTCGACATGTTATGACCAACCTCGGTGAGAAGCTTACCGATGAAGAAGTTGATGAAATGGTAAATTTCATTTTGCATGACTGATAAGAATGTTGGATGCGTTTACCAAATGTTTGATATCACTAGCATTCAACTACCTTTATCACTTTTATTAACTAAATCATTTCCTATTCGTTCAGATTCGTGAGGCTGATGTCGATGGAGACGGTCAAATCAACTACGAAGAGTTCGTCAAGATGATGATGACCCACTAATTTATTTACGTTTCATCTATTTTCTCGTAATCCTTATACTAAAATAAAAAAAAATTTTCTTGCATTGTTGTTTCATTTTAAACATATTCGCTGTTCATCATTCATCTTGGGTCTTTGATGCATACATGTGATATACTATTCTTCATCTACAAATATCAAGTTCACTTATTTTTTTTCCATTCATATCATGTAGTACACTTTTTGATTTTGTCGATGTAGTGAGGAATTAAAGAAACAAGAGGAAAAGGCTAAAAGAGAAAAAAGCATCTGGGTGAACATTTGGGTGTTTGGGTCTTGGAGATAACGGGGGAGAGGAGGGGGGGAGTGGATGAAGCGGATATTATCTAGTGTGACTTTAGCCTGCTACGTTGAATAGCAACCTGACTGCAACTAGCGATTCAGCGTCGTTTAAACAAATGCTTTTCTTAAAGAGAACAAGATCTCCATTGCAATACCAGATATCGTAATCTCGAGCGTAATTTACCATCGTTGATTGGACAATGATCGGATAAATGTGTTGCAGTGAGGTTGAATTTTCATCCCTGGCTGTCAAACGCACACACAACGGCAATTTATTAATTGTCGCTTTGCCAAGAACTCTTTAACTTGTATCACTGGACAACGTAAGTATTTGTGCTACTATAACATCTATTAGACAACAGAAAAGATACCCACATACCACAACATTTATATTATTTCCCCCCATCACTTTATTATTGTTGAATCACCATCTGCATGATCAGTAACCGTAAATCTGCTTGACGTGTCCGCAACCTGCACGCATTCACTACTCCCTGAACTGCGTACCACAACAGATTACAATATTGCACACTTTCTTAGCAAAAAACCCTCAGCACTTGACCATGGCAAGTAAAGAATAAGAAGAACATATATTAGGCTTTCCGATGGACAAATTTGTACTTTTCCCGATGTCATCTCCACATCCCTGTTCTGTGAATCATTTCAATTCGGGTCAGTCATGTTCGTCCGTTTGTTGGGTTTTTGATCGACGTCAGGAATTTTAATGCTAGGCATTGATCGGCCAGAAAGATCAAGCAAGAGTCGAATAGTAGAAAAAGACGGTTTCTGTCATCGACTTTTCGTGATAGACACCATTGACTAAGATCTTATCCACAATGAGCTTGAAGAGTGCAAATAGTGGATGGAAGTAGGTTGTTTTGTTGGGGGCCATTGCAACAAACCAAAGTGGGGTCATGTGCGTTTAGGCGAAGATCACGAATAAATAATCAGAGAGGATATTTTGCTTTGGTTAAATTCTTTCTCCAAGTAGGTGTGGTCTTGTAATTTGTAAGCAACATCTTCATAATCAGTTCCCTATGATCTTTGATGTGTCGTTGGAGTAAAGTCCGAGTAGTAAAGCTCGGTTTAAAGGCCATCGACTGGCTGCATATTAGAAGAGGCCACAGCTCTGCTCGAACATGGATGGCTACATTCCAAAAGTCGACAATTGATTGCTCTTTCCGCAATTGTTTGGCTCGATGCCTTCAAATAACGTCTTGCAATTTGAAAATGCAAAATCAGCGATGTAACCGAAATCATATCGACCGTCGTCTGTTTTAAGAGACGGCATTGTCGGTGATTATTTAAAATCATGTAATTATTTTATTCGTCATGAGGACTGTGGTAACATAATATGGTCTCTGTATTCAATAAAAAGACGCGTTTGTTTACAAACCCAAACAAATTATATATTATATGGCTATTTGTCTTCAATTGAGAACACCAAAATTGGCAAGATTGTAAATGACAAGTGAACATGTTCGATGTGGCTGTAATTTCTAATGTAACTGATGACGTTTTGAAAAGGCTTTGCCATATAAATATAATTGTGGTGTGCATGCATAACTTATGGACTCGTTAATTTTGATGTTGAATTAGGAGAAAATTTTTGTTCTGTTTAAAACTAACAAATACAAATTCATCAGATAAAGTTGGATAAGATTGTTATTATGTGAAATTTATCATTTCAGTATTAATGGAAAACTCTAATTATAGGCTCAGTGTTGGGGCTTGTAGATAACTATTTAATTTTTCGAGGATAAATACGATTATAATTTACTGGGATAAGATGAAAAGTCTATCGTACAGGAAAGTTTTCAGTTTAAACGCGTTTCTGACAATTAAATAGAAATCCTGTGCCGAGGTACCAGCTATTCGATGGCAAGATTCGAATATGCAATACGAAGGGTCCAAGGAGCGATTTAAACTCAACCCTTCTTTAAGTACAGGGATGAAGCAACCAACAGTTATAACTATCGGCAGAGGCTTTATTAGAATATAAAGAACTATTCAAAAAGGACATTATAACATACTATTGTTAAATTTTTAATAAAAAGTACGAACTAAAATGATCTGAAGTTGATGTTGAAGGGAAATTCGCGCTGCTTAAATATTTTTTACCAGTCGCACGAGTGGATAGGATATTCATTTGATGGCTATGTATTAGTATCCCAAACGTGTTGTTTACAAATATTGTTTGAATTTTTTGCCATTCCTTTGGCATAATAATTCTCATTATGAAGCCTATTCTGCAGAAACTCATAATAATAACAGCATTGTTACCCTATTTGATAATAATGGACTCTCATCATATAAAATAGCTGCACAGCTAGGTATTAGTCACACAACAATGGACAGAGAGTATGTGCAAAGTCAAGACCTGAGATTCTGAAAAGTCTGGGTGGACAGCCAGTTAAGCTTACAGCAACTGACAAGCATAGATTGGTCGGCATGGTTGCTTCAGGAAAAGCTGGTAATGCTGTTCAGCTTACTCATGTATCGAATAAGTATGCGGTGCAAAGTATGATGTGAACCACTTGTAATAATAATGGTAAAATTTAGAATGAGGAACCACTATTACTATGACAAAATATATAGACACAACAAGGTTGCCAAAGCCCAGCACATCAGTCTCATAATTATGTGCATGGAAGAGCATGAGAAGAATCCATGTGGAGGTAAACTATTTACTTATGCATCATGTTATCGAATAGTTATGGCTTACTACTATGTATCATTTTCCACTAGTTCTTGCCACGGATGTTTGGGTCCCCCCATCGGATCACATGTGATGCAAGTATAGAAAAGTAAGGGTTGCATACAGGATGGCTTATCTGACATGTGCAAAACGCCAAAACCACTGGATTGGATTACAGACAACAAGTGTTGTATGTCAGATCGGAATTTATATCAATTCCGAAGTGATATATGTCAGATCAGAATTTTATATCGCTTATTAAAAATTTGAGCGGGAAAATTCTTTATCTTAGAGTGATTTTATCTTAGAGTGACTTTATTTTATCGAGTGAATAATATATTGTCGTATGTCAGTTTAGAAGCGACATAAAATTCTGACATAAATTCCGATCTGACATACAACATTATGTCATGGATTTACACATGTAGCAGAGCCAGCAGCGAGGTGAACCGACGAAAGTTATACTCAAGCGGATAGTCGACAGACAGAACGCCCATTGGTTTGATTCCATCAGGTAAATCACTTCACATGTAAAATGAAAATAGTATTATTAGCATGTGTATAGCGCGTTTAGAAACAGATTACTATAATTTGTATTTGTTTGCTCGAATAGATAACTCCAACGTATTAACAACCGAGAATATCTGAATACTCAAGAGCCATCTACTCGGGAATACTATTTAGTTTTCTACCACGACATACGCTCACTACAAAATAGCGAAAATGTTAATAACATGAAGTATAGCGACTTCTACGAAATTGAAAAAGTCCGGGGTCTGATGGCTACGGAACAGGTTATACCGTCAAATATAAAAAGTATTCAGAAGTATGGCTTATGCAACAAACAGTTGTACTCAAACCATTTAAGAAATTTGATGAAACGCCTGAATTATTGATTTCCGAAGTAAATAATTGATAATATTAATTAAGTGTTATTTAATTTGACTGCATTTACTTTATTTAATAGTTTCGAAATCATGCCAAAGTGCATAAGCAAGGGTTATCGTTTCCTTCAAATTACGGACTCTTACAAGACTCAGAAACAAACGGATACATTATTGTTATGCAGTATTAGTATGCTAACAATGGTGGCTTTTACATCAAAATATTAACAATTTGACGTGGAAAATGAAATTATGCCACTTGAGGCAGAGTATCTGTGTACTATTCATGATGCAGGAGCTGCGCATTGTGATCCTCATGCCGGAAACATAGTCCTGCATGATAATGAACCACTTACATGCGGTGAACTCGCGCGATTTGAATTCAAACATTCAAGATGTTTTACCCTTTATTGCACACCTTGTGAATAAAAGTTCCTCGCGATCTACCCTTTATTGCACCTGATGTCTACCCGCAAATTTACTCAGAGTCAGACATATATTCTTTCGGTATCATTATGTATTTGATTGCGACTGGTGGTATAGAGATAGGCAGTTCGATGGAGATTTAGCGTACAGCATTGTAGGCGGACTACGACCAACGATGCCTGATTCCGCACCAGAGAAACTTGCCGAGTGGTGTTGTGACGTCGATCCTGATAAGCGTCCAGATGCAGAGGAGCTTTCCAATGATATTTGATGACGGAATGCTGTTTATCAGAATGATGTAAAATCCGTATCACGTCGCGAGAAAGGAAGTAAATTCTACTAGGCTCGCCCAACAGGAGATCTGCCTAAACCAATAATAATTCTGATCAGTTACCTCCTTATCCGATTTCAGCTTGTCTTTGTAATTTGCGGTTTATGAAAGGGTCAATATTTTAATTTACTCTTCTTATTCTAATCAAATTAATTACATACTAATACCATACATCATTTGAAATATAAAGCATATTCTGCATATTAATATCGATTAATATGGTGTGATCTTCGTCAATTATAACACTTCGGACCGTCAAGCCATATATGATAGTGGTATGTACAACTCTAAAAAAGAAGACTTTTTATTATAATCATTATCCAAAACCGTTACCTATATGCCTAATACTTTTGCGTTAATATTAATTAACTATTGTTCATACAAAAGTGGTAATGTTATTAACCTCATTTGTATTTATAAGAGTGTCCCTTATTATAATTGTTGGATCTTTGATTATATTCTAAAAATAAATTATGTATTGGAGAAACATGTCTTGATATGAGATTGTAATTATTCTGTTGATCTATTGATAATTAACAAATGGAGGAGAGGATTGTAAACAGACAATGCTCAACGTTATAGCAATCAATGCGTGATTCATTTAACAGCAATACCGATGGGACGGACAGTGAACTTGGTTACGGACAGCGCTCAATGTCTATGGAAACAATAAGCATCACATGACTGTTAACGGACAATGTGAAAACTCGCAAACATCAGAGCTGATATCAGCGATCCTATTCACTTAGAGTATAACGAAATAATCATCGTGCGAAGCTTTTATTTCGTAACGTCTTCCTATATATATAGTTATATTCAGCTTTTTGCCTATATCAGGGCACCCAAATGACATTATTTGAACTTGCAGTCAAAACATTCAGTTACCAGTGAGCGTCCACAGTCCCAAGATAGAGACTCGACTTATAAAGTGTCTGTCTCTTCAACAAGAAAAGTATAAAAGGTTATTTGTAGATGCTGTGTGGCTGACTAAACTTTATCCGAACAGCCTCGGTCACCGCGTTATTCCGTCATCTGCCGCAATAGTTGGATTATTGTCAGTATGATCTATGACCAATAATTAATAAACATGTATTTCAGGACGACTCTAGGAAAAATTTCAAACGTTATTACAAGTAGTATTATTCAGGATTATACTGATCACGGCAACAGGAGCGGATAAATACTCGATTGTTCCTGACTACGACAGGTTAGCTGCCCCGGAACAGTTTTAACCAAGTTCGAAAACAGTTCAAACATTGAATCTGACGCGAAAAAATTAAATGAGCTATTAAACAAATGTCGTTATTATTTTGTAATGAAAATCCGACTGGAGAAATAATAGATGGAATTAACTTCATCTGATACATGATAATGCAATAAAATGTAGCATGCTACAACAAAACCAAAGAGTCATACAGAGAGGCTCAAAGATTGAGTGGGTCACTTTGGCGGCAAAGCCAAATTATTCGTGTTAATTGTCAATGTGTATTATCAACTTTGATTTTTTCATTTCTTATTATGAAGGACATGTTATAATATCACTATTCGTTTCAATGGAAACGAATATTCCGTTGAAAATCTTGATGACTGTTATTCTTGCAACGAACGATTACTAGATTTATTGAAAGAGCGATGGGTTAGTTATTGGCTATGACTGCATATATGGCACGATAAAACCTGCATACTTTCATCACTGAAAAGTAAGTCTTTAAGATCAAAGTGGAATTGACACAAATAAAAATTCTGGAAATAGGACACATGCTATGCACACTCGTTCTCACATTCATGTCCCACTTTACCTGGCTGGGTTGGTGGACGAGTTCCAAAACCTTGTGGCTAATAATAAGTATTCGCTAAACTAATTAGGAGCCAGGCACTCAATTGCGCTATGCGTGTATATAGCCTAGGCCATTATATAAATCCTTTCCTATACCAGAAAAAGTATAGTCTATAAAATTTAAACCTTTTACTGCACCGAATACGGCAAGAAGCGAGGTTTCTGTAGCCATCTTGAGCCGCCGGTAATTGATTTCCCATAATTACTTGAAGCGATTAGTGAGAATCATTTTCTCGCTCTCAAAATGGACACCATCGCCGAATGCAATTGTTGTTGTTCGGGTACCTGACTGAGTGAGCTAAATGCAAAAGCATTGTAATCTTGACTTTTGCTGTTGTGATCAATACGAGAATGCTCTAGAGTTTCATACTCTCGGAGCTACCACGTATGGCGTTTGCTATGTATGCTATATTAGTCTCATAATAAAATTTCAGTGTAGTAAACCGCTTGGGTGATGATGCTTTAGGGTTAATGGGAAGCGAGAGATGCGAGAGATGCATTAACAAAAAAGTTTGTCATGATTCATTGCTATTCGTGGGCTATCCGTTGTACTAGAGTCAGATCATTACAGCTTTGTGTAATGTCATTAAACTTTTGCCAACAAGATTATATCTGGGGGTGATGCATTATCATAGGAAAAAGCTGATTGCTATTTATAATTCAGTCCGCTGATGAAAAAGTTGCATTACCTGCATTGATTGCCAGTCTTTCCTTCCCATTTCTTTTTTTCCCTGGGCATGTATTCTCTTCTTTTGATCAGAGACTGACGATTGATTGCCATCAGCCTGGCCCTTGTTATTAAATGAAATGCTTTACCCAGTTTGGGATAATGCTATAAAAATTTTATCATCGTTTGACAGAGTAATAATTATTACACGAAGCCTTTGTCCCATGAGAAATTTCCAACCTTGCATAATTGAATTTGGAACCATTTCAATTTTGGCCATCCGTTTGCATTAGAGTTAGTGCAAATCGAGCATAGTCGGGAAACACGGGCGTGTGATATTTGTTACGAACTTTTAAAACGCGCACAAAGAGGTATGATGATTTGTCAAGTCGTTATGGACTGCGGGCTCATGGATCATGCCGATACAACATTCCTATTAGATGGATAATGTTGTATGCATGATTGTTCCAAAAACGGACAGTGGATCAATGACGATAGTCTAAAATTCCCGTTGGATTTTCCCAAATATTAAAAACGCCAAATTTGATATGTTTTGTTTCAAAGCAAGTCAACAAATTGATAAATTATTGCTCATGTGACGTTTCCGGTGACTGTACAAATAATGCGCCATAAACACCATTAAATAAAAGACTAATTATAATACCAACATTGTGATACCATGTAACAATGTGATTGAACATAATCGGGTGTTAATAAAAAATAAAAACAATCATGAAAGGGAAAACGGAGAATATAACGAAATGTAGAAAAGTTGACGTTTTGTCGGTTCATGAAGAATTAAACGACTGTGTGATGATGGAATAGGATATCGGAGTTCGTTTACTAAATATATTTTCGTTTTCCATAACTTTCCGATTAGTATTGCGTTAGATATCACCATTGCCATATTAATCCAATCGCATCCAATTCTATCATATGACTACCACGCGCATTTGTGCGTTAACAAATAACACTAGCGCAAAGGAAGCTTTCATCATAAATATGCTGGGTCAGGCATAACACCGAGAGTCACAACATGCGCAGACAATTGCAAAAGTAAGATTATATACAATATGTCATACATTGTATTATTTATTATGCTCACTTTATAACAACTTGCCGGTTCCTCCGGATATGGCGTACCCATTCCTCTATTTCTGGACACTAACGGGCACACAGACGGGCAGTGTGACTTGGGAGACCCTTCAACAAGTCTTTTACCAAAAAACAGTAAGATATCTTTCAGGATATAAATATTACTACGATATTAAAAGTTACATTGTTGCAAGTGCGAGAGTTGGAAAAAGTAGTAATAGTTAATGCTGTTCTTCTCAAAGTCTGCTAGAAAAAATATCGACAACACCTTGTACGACACAAGATTCTAAAAGTAAACAAGAGACGAGACAATAGAAACAGGTTTATAGTGAATAGACAACGGGAACTAGTCTCCGCTCCCTCTCCCCCCTCACCTCAATATAACAATAATATTATCTGCTAATATAATACTATCCACTCAATAGTGCTGAGACTCGTTCTACACAACTCACACTATCTTCAGTAATATGCCCTCTCCCGAAGAAGAAATTCAGTGTTCTTCTCCATACTCACCTCATTCTGAAGACTATGCCCTTTCTGCCTCTTACTACTATCATGATAATCCAGAAACGATGTTTCTCGATCCAAAACTAGAAGTCCTTGATAATGACAACCCGTTGTTTTTTCTTACCCCTCAGAGAACGCCGAACCATGATATACACAGCGAGCATAGTCAGGGATTGATTGATACCGTTGGTCAGTTGCAGCAAACTCTTGCGTTTGCAGCTGCTACTGTTAGTCAACAAACAATACTGCAAGAGCAGCAACAACAACAACAACAACAACAACAACAGCCAAAACAACAACAACAACAACAACAACAACAGCAGCAGCAGCAGCAGCAGCCAAAACAGCAGCAACAAACTAAAAAACAACAACAACAGCAGCAGCAGCAGCAGCAACAACAACAACAACAACAACAGCTTACAGACATTCCTTTACATCAATCTCTCCCATATCAAAAGAATGCCCAGTCTTCAGGCTTATCACAGTCAATGAAAAACCTCCAGATACAAGTCCTTGGAGTGCCACAAACCGGAGCCAAATCTCGCGTAGAAACCCAAATAAAATTATGTCTTCAGTTGGTTACTGACAAGGGCGAAAAAGTGCCACTGTGGTCGCATCTAAGATTACCAGAGTATATGGTGGCAAAGGAAAAATTGAAGACAAAAAATGCTAGAAATGGTCAGGATCAGAGTGTGAACATTGTTGAAAAGGGTGTGTTGAATTTAGAGGCGACTGTTGTTTGTGCTAGTGAGACGCTCAAGCAAGTTACCACCTGTCTGGGATGTGTGCAAAGAGAGGTAAAAAACATATTTGTAAAAATATATAGGGTTAGGTGGAGAATCTAGGATTGAATTATGAGATTGTCTTTGTAAATCTCAATTCCCCACTGAGAATTGAGAGCATGCAAACTAGACATGTCCCATACATTCTTACTAACAAAATTATATTGGACGTACCTTTTCATTTCCAATTTTGTGTTAACTGTTTACTTGCAAACCCTTCATTCATCTATATCACTAGAGAAAACGATCGCAACGCAAAAAAGAACACAAACTCAAGTCCAACCCACAAGCACAAGCACAGCAGGAGGAAGCTTCGAAATCTATGGACCTTGACGACGAGAAATCCCTAGCGCTCGAACAGCGCAAGATTCTCCTTTTCAACTGTAGCGAAATCGTAGATTTCAGCAGTGGCGATACTATTCTTCCTACACGCATTACCTGCTACTGCCGCCACCACAACGAAAAAGTCGGGTTTTGCATTATTTTTGTAATGAAAGACTGTTCCGGCCAAGTAATAGCCCGCGGAGTCTCACCAGCAATCATGATAACCGATGATCACAAGTCGTCAAAAACAAAACAGGCTAACGGCGTCGTCGGGCGACGACGATCACGTGTGGAAAACGAGCGTCGGGGCAGTCACTCGAAATTAGCCGATAGAACAGCTGAAAGAACCGGGGACAGATCGATAGATAGACCAAACACAACGCCAATATCGATTTCGACTTTATCTTCTAATGGTTCTGCACAATCGGCTACGAATATCTTTGCACAAGCAAGGTGTTTCGGCCTGGGAACTTCCGGGAAGCAGAAGAGACAAGCTATTAAGCAAGAACCTCAAATAGGCAGGATCGTGCAAGGTAATGATGAAGGAGGACAGGAAATAGTAGAAGAAGATGGACAAATTGGACTCAAAGTAGAGAATGAAAGACAAACTCAGCAAATCCAGACTTTGGGTGGCTATTCTACTTCTCCTTCGACGCCTTTGTCACCAATTTCTCCCAGCTCTCCCCGGCCTGCATCGGCACCTTACCACATTCCGGCCAAATATGATCGTAATGGTGAGTGATTAGGATAAAAAATCCCTGGAATTTACACTCCTACCGTTCGATTAATCATCTCATATCCGCTTTTTTTTTTAATCATCTCATTTCCAGCCACATTGCAGTCTCAAGGCATAAACAATCTCTATCCTCTCACTCTACATCAATCCATATCCTCTCCTTTAACACCAACCGCGTTTCCACTCTCTCCCACTCCAACTCAACTTTCACTCAATCTCCAACAACACCACATACCGAATAATCCTGGCATAATGCCACAAAGCGTCTACGGAAATACAATATTCCAAAATCCGAACGTGGGGTACGGACCCGTTTCCAGGATTAGTAGACTGATTCCGAGCGAGGGACCAATTTATGGTGGTATAGAAGTCACCGTACTTGGAAATAATTTTTATAGTGAGTATTTAGATTACAGCGGGTTTTAACCAATTTGATAACAAAATTGGGGAAATGACCACATAATATGTAAAGATATATATGATAATAAATCAGCTCAATTTTGGCAATTTTTAAATTTAAAAGTTTAATGCTGGGACACTAATATCAATTTCTTTTTATAAATTTTCAATCGCTTTGTCTCTAACGTTCCTAACCTTCCCCCAGACGGCTTGACATGTGTGTTTGGTGACACACCTGCTATCCCGACGCAATTCTGGTCTTCTAATACTTTAGTCTGTCTTTTACCTCCATCTCCGACGCCGGGTCCAGTTATCGTATCCTTCAAAGAATTTCCGATAAACCTGATGGACGGTCAGAATTCTGAAGTTGTGGTGTTTACATATAATGATGGTACGACAAGCTCGGTGTGGGCATTGGTGTGTGTTGGAAGAAGGGAAAAGGGGTGGTGAGGGAGAGACAGCATTTCTTTTTCTTCTAACGTGTATTTTTTGGCAATACATAATTTTGTAGATTCTGATAGAGCACTGATGGAACTAGCTCTGCAAGTAGTCGGAATGAAAATGACTGGGAAGCTCGACGATGCACGCAACATTGCCATGCGCATCATTGGCGACACTTCCACCAACTCTTCCCATTCGCCATCCACATCTCCATCAGGCACCACTCACACCATGAACTCTACCATATCAGCAATCGTTCGAAATGCTTCAATGTCCAATAATCTAGAGGAACACATTATTAAAACGATGGGTTTGTTGGACGTTGAGACACAATTTGACGATTGTATTTCACTACAAAATAGTACGAAACATACAATGTTGCACTTGGCGGCTATGCTAGGATTCGCAAATTTGTGTAATGTGTTGATTGAACGAGAAATTGATTGGGAAATACAGGATAATTATGGATTTACTGGTACGTTTCTTGTTTGTTAAAGATGAAAAGGAATTGGGAAGTGTAAAGTTTTGGCCATGTTGACCAACTGGATTTTCAAATTTTCAGCGCTTCACTATGCCGCCTGGGCTGGAAGGACCGAGATTGTCCAATTACTTTTAGCAGGTTTGTCGCTTAATACTTGTCTTTTTCTGTTCACGTCACATAGTCATCTCACATTACGTAATTAATATAAGCTGGGGCACGTGATGACCTTCGCAACGTATACGACCAACGTGCATTGGACCTAGCTGCTTCTCGTGGTTATGAGGAAATAATTAGCCTCCTCTTTGAACAACAACACGATTCTGGTGTTTCTCTTTCTCCGTCATCATCCGAAGAAGATGCGTATTTGGTCGATTCGGATGACAGCTGGCCAGATTTTGACAGCGACGCAGAGATTGAGAGTGAAAACGAACAGAGCGCTACGAGGGAGTCGATCGATGATTCGAGCGAAGATGTATTGGAAGGAAAGAGTATAGACGTGACTAAACATAAAACAGATACTATGCGAGAAACTGGAAAAACGGCAGATTTTGATACTGACACGAAAGACAAGGATGTTCCAATTACATGGGTTGATCCCAAAAGTTCCACAGAAAACAACTTATCGGCAGAGAATATTCTTGGCGCGGATGAAATTGTCGATGCCGAACCGGTCGTAGATGACAAAAAGTCCAAGCAACCGCTAGCTGACTTTGCCAATGACCTGGCATCAGCATCGACCATCTGGCTTCAAAAAACCTTTGCTCACATGCACATGCCAAATATCAGCAAACCTCCACAATTGAATATTCCGCTGCCAACCATCAAAATGCCCACTCTCCAAAATTTCTCATCTCCCAAATTCCCATCACCAAAATTCTCAACCATGACGTTTGCTTCAAAAATGTCGATTCCCAGACCATCGATGCCGAGCATACCGTCTTTGCACATGTTCGAGATGCCTGCGTTCACGGCAATGATGGCAGCTTTTCCTGCGATGATTGCGTCATCACCATTTGCTAACTTTAGTCGTGAGGATAGAACAGATGGACCGGCCTCGGATCCATCTATTGAGCAAGTAACATCTGTTAATAACGCTTGGGAACAATATTTCAAATTTACTCGGAAACAATCGGACGGAAGCGACGGAGATAAAAAGGAAGGGGGTAATAACATGTTTGGCGGTAACATGTTTGGCGGTAACATGTTTGGCGGTAACATGTTTGGCGGTAACATGTTTGGAGGTAACATGTTTGGAGGTAACATGTTTGGCGGTAACATGTTTGGCAGTAACATGTTTGGCAGTAACATGTTTGGGTATACGTGGCCGTTATGGTATAACTCGGAAGGACAGCAACACGTGCCAATGTATCCACACCAGCCGGGCGAAGGTACATCGAATGCTGCGCCAGCTACTATAAAGAGATCCAAGAGACATTATGGAATTCCACGTGTAGACGAGGCTGCTTTCGGAAGGTACAAAGAAAAAATGAAAAGGTTGAAGAAAGACCGGATGCTATTTTTGTTCTGGGTGCCTATGCTTTTCGGTAAGTCTAGATATATTGGATTAAAGGAGTGTGTAAGAAATTTGTGCGAATGTTTTAAAAAAAAGAATCGCTTGCCTTTTGAACTCTAATCATATACTAATAATTGTTCACTTTTTTAATTTACAGCAATGCTTGCTCTTGCGTGGTTTAAATTTACTTCTATCCCATATGTACGCTAGTATTCTTTTGTATTTATCTTTCTTATTGTGAATTAATTTTTATTACCTTTTACTATTATCTGTTTTGTGTATTATTTTTCTGCCTTATATACTTTCTTCCTTTTTTTTTGGTTAGCTTGTATGAAATATCCATTTTAACCAACAGATCATCAATCGTTGAACAATTATGATTCCCAGACAATCGTGAAAATATTGCACTTTTTGCGGACTGTTATTCCGCATTGCACCAGTTGTAAACAATAAAAAAATATAGAAGTGCTTTGCAAATTTGAACGGACA